ACCATTTAGGTTTCACACTCATACTCACATGGAGAATATCAACACTGTTCTTTACATTACACTCATGGTTCTCCCACCATGTTTTTACTTTACTAATCAGGGCCATTTTTCTTTATGTAGCTGTTGCCGAACTTTTCTTTTGTAGCTGTTGCTGAACTTTCCTTTATCGAAGTAGACGAAACTGGTTTGCGACCGCGCCAAATCTGTTACGACCCCGGTTACGTAGAGGAAGCTAACAGAAACGTTTATTGCACAAAGAAATACAAAGCAGGCGAAGGTTGGGGTATGAAGAAGAACTAAGACTGAGACCGAGAACTAACTATTGGCTGGGCTTTTATACTAAACACTTTAAGGGCTGACGCCCATACACAACAAAAGGGACCAAATTTTAGAGTCAAATAGGCCAAATATTTTTTTCTTTCCGGTCTTAAAGCCCAATGATTAAACTTTTGCTAATTTCTTCCTTAATAACCACAATTTCATAGGTTGGCGTGTAGTAAATAAAGAAAAGAAATCATTAACTTCAATTCGGAATAAAGGTTTGCGATTATAAAAATTATGCAGAAAAATCAGTAATATAAATAAAATATGAGTAAATCTTTAAATTTTAACATTTTTATCTTACTTAGGTTTAAGTTTAATTTAGTAAATATAGGTATAGAAAAATATGTTAAACATTATTTTAAAAATTTAATTAAAGAAAAACGCAAATCGCGTGGAGAATCCTCTTCCCATCAACCTCAGCATCATAAGAATCCTCAACATCTACAAAAATACAATGTAGATTCAATTGAAGATACGGGAGATTATTGTGAGAATTATGTTAAATTCATTACAAATAAAAATTTTTTAAGCTAACAAGTAAACGAGGAAGTTCATTTATGCAAAAGCAAAAGTCTATTACAAGTAGAGAAAAAGGGATTTAAAAAAAGGATTTAAAAGGGATTTAAATTATATTTTTATTCTAAAAATTTTGAGACAATGGGTTGGTCGGAACTTTATATCAGACAAAAAATAGAAAATTAAGTATCCATTGTGAGCTTTTTATTAATAATTTTTTGACCCAATGAGCTTTAAAATTTTTTTGCCACAATGGAAACTTTATTTTATGCCCAAGCTTTATCTCATTACGATTGTAACATGGTTATTTTTATTTAAAACTGACAGGATAAATTGTTCTATTTACAGGGTGCGGCAAATTTTCCACCGCTTTTGGTTTGGTCATAACTCGGTTCAAACTTATCTAGTAAAGGCATGCCTCTCTCTAATAGTAAAGGCATGCCTCTCTCTAATAGTAAAGGCATGCCTCTCTCTAATAGTAAAGGCATGCCTCTCTCTAATAGTAAAGGCATGCCTCTCTCTAATAGTAAAGGCATGCCTCTCTCTAATAGTAAAGGCATGCCTCTCTCTAATAGTAAAGGCATGCCTCTCTCTAATAGTAAAGGCATGCCTCTCTCTAATAGTAAAGGCATGCCTCTCTCTAATAGTAAAGGCATGCCTCTCTCTAATAGTAAAGGCATGCCTCTCTCTAATAGTAAAGGCATGCCTCTCTCTAATAGTAAAGGAGTGCCTCTCTCTAGTAAAGGCATGCCTCTCTCTAATAGTAAAGTCATTCCTCTCTCTAATAGTAAAGGCATGCCTCTCTCTAATAGTAAAGGCATGCCTCTCTCTAATAGTAAAGGCATTCCTCTCTCTATGCATGCCTCTCTCTAACAGCTCCTTCGTTTATTATTTCCAGACCCTCTATTATGACTGGGTGAACTTGATGTTTTTAATTAAACATGTGGTATTGAAGTTCAATAAAAAATTCAGACAAAAAATTTTAAGTAGTTTTAACTAGAGTTGCACGAGATCGATATCTCGACCGAGACCGAGACGAGAATCTCGGCCATTTTCCAATCTCGGTCTCGGTTTTGCCGAGACGAGACCACCTAACCGAGACGAGATTCTCGGCACTTAATCTCGCCGAGATCCGAGATCAGTATACACCCCTAGAGATTGACCTTCTTGAGATTTATTTTTATTTTGACAAAATATTTAAAATTTCGCCATTGGTATATTGTTGTGCTTACTTTAATTTAGTTGTCTAGAGAGCGGAGCAGGACGAATAAGCGCGGCTGAATACACATCAATCTTCGCGGAAAAAAGTTTTTGCCGCTGCGGGGGAAGCCGGGCATGTCGAGCGGAACGACGGCCGCCGCTTCGCTACGGTCGCCGCGACCATTACTTACCTAGGACCATTTCTTACCCTATTCTTCGAAATTTCGTAAGGTTATAATCTTTTTCTGAAATTTTTAAAAGTTTGCTATAACTTTCAGAAATTTCAAGTAATAGGGTACGGAATGGTCCCAGATCAAGTGGACGTAGGTCCCGAACATGAAGAACTATTACGGAACCCAACCCCAACCTTGAACACGAAGAAAAATCCAAAATTTGGGGTTTCAGTCCCCAATTGGCCGGCCAAATTCAATTTGTACAAGAATGTAATTTGGACGGTGACATATATACACCGTATTTCTTCTAATAGTGCGACTGTCTCTAATAGACCGACCCCTTCTAATAAACCGACCCCGTAGAGGAAGGTTGAAAAATAAACCGACTGTCTCTATCAGACCGACCCTTCTAATTAACAAGTGTCCCCTACCCTTTATACTTAATTCTTTCTGGAGAAATGGTGGAAAAAATTCTAGTTGTAAAGGCAAATATGGATAAACTGTTGCTTGGTCCACCAACTGAAATTAATTCTGATGAAACATATGATTTTGATGATGGTTTAGGTGATATTTAATTAATTTAAATGGGTTTTGGTGGATAAAAAAAGTTTTGAAAAATCTCGGTTTATCTCGGATCTCGATATCGGTCTCGGGTCAAATTTTGCATCTCGGACTCGGTCTCGGTCATACGGGTCTCGGTCAATCTCGGTCTCGGATTTATTCTAAAATCTCAATCTCGTGCAACTCTAGTTTTAACTAGAGTTATCCCTGTTCATATGCTTATAAAAATAAAAATTCACAAAACAATAGTTATCCTATCTCAAGTCAACTTTGTTGAAGTTTTCAATTTTTTTGATTCACTGAATCTACATATTAGTAAATCTATTAAATAATGCCCAGATTCATTTTTTCCCAATTTTTGAAGCAATTAAAATTAATTTTGGAAATATTTTCCTTTAATTTTTTATTAAATTGTCCAAATTCAAAATTAATTTCTGATGCTTTAAACGGCAAGGGTAAAATTAAAAAAATAAACAATTTGCTAATTTTTTTTCTTTTTATTTTGCCGAAAATCAAAACACAATAAAGAAAAATTCTTATGAAATAAATAAAGACGACTTGTGATTCTTTAGAAAAATAACGAGTGCAAAATTATTTGCACTTTGCTTAAAGGGTAAAAATTAAATTAAAACACAAAAAAATAATTTGGTAATTTTTTTTCTTTTTTTTTTGCCGAAAATACCAAAACACAGTTTTGAATTTATTTTAAAATAATTAGACATTAATAAAAATTGCTAGACTATCACCTTATTGAGGTGTTTCGAAATTTCGATTTTCGAATTCCTATTTTCAATTTTTGAGAGTTTATTATGTTTCGATTTTGACATTTAAGGATTTTTTTTATTTTCGAATTTTATCAAAAATTTTAATTTTTGGCTCCAAAAAAGAGGAATTCTGGCTGCTCGGGCATCGAAAATCTTGGCATTCCAAAAAGATTTTTTTAGATAATAATATAAAAAGTTTGAGTAAAATAAAAAATATTAATGCTAATATTTTACATATATTTGCTGAAAAAAGAGTTCTTTTAAAATAAGCAAATACTTCTCAAATAAAAAAATTTTATTAAAATAAAGAAAACTCTTTAAGAAAAGATATCTTAACTCAAACTCTATTTAAAGTTTCACAATAATATACTTTATTAAAAAAATATTTTTACACAATTTAAACGTTATAAATAAAAACTAAAATTATACAAGAACTCTGAGAGAAATTTTTATATTAACTCTGATTATTTACCTAAATTCCAAAGTTTATATGGAGAAAAAATGGGAGGAAGCAGGTAAAGAAAGTTTTTGTAAGATGAAGGCAAGAAACCGTGCCATGTTTGTAGAGGCATAAAAATTTAATTTTTTACAAATTTTATTAAATTATATGTAATAAAAGTTTATTTTTATTTAAATTTTCTAAATTTAAATAGATGAAAATTGGGAAGGGCATTCAACATTTACAATAAAAAATTTTTTTCCCTTTATAAAAATTCTTATGGATTTTTTCTATCTATTTTCCATCTATATTAAAGAAAAAAGATTCGAAATTTTGATTTTGATTTTCTACGAGAATCGAAATTTCGATTTTCTATCTATATTTGCAATGTCAATCTCTCTCTCTCTCTATTATTTTTTATTATATACATATATGGAAAATTTATTTATATAAGGAAAAATTTTTTAAATGTAAATAGGGAAATCCATCCCCAATTTAATTCATTTTAAATTTTTACTCCCCAAAAAAACTAAATAAAATTTAGCTTTTCCCTATCTTAATTTAAAATAATTTAAGAAAATTAAACTTTTATTCCTCTAAAAATATATCTTATTTTTGTTGAAAAGTTTATAAAATGGATATTGTTCGAGATGATAATTGGATAGTGGCCTGACGGCGCTGACAAAGGACGAAATCTGGCTTCCTGCCTTCCGAAATTCTTAAAGTTTTTGTCTGCGGCGCTGAATTAAAATAGATTTGGAGATGTATCATGAGATTTGTAGTGGTTGGGGATTAAGTGGGATATAGATGTAGTTTTGCTTTTGACCTTCCCGCTCCAAGCACATTCGGAGCATGAAGCTTTATTTTTTGTTATAATGCTACCGAAAAAATTTTTTCTTAACAATGCTTCAAAAATTATCGGAAATTTTATAAAAATTTTGGAAAGCCTAATTCCGACCGAACTCTATTTATTACCATTAATTTATATTAATTATCCTTTATTTATTCCAAATTTTTTAGAGAATGTGGTTATTCTTTTTGTTTATTAACCTCAATTCCATTTTTAATTTTGTTTGTCCTCATTCGATTTTTGTAAAGTTTTCTTGGCGAGATAATGGCGAAAATGAAGAAAATTATTACAATCGTTTGGCTGGAGAAGCTGATGAACGATTTAAATTGGAATTGACAGGGGATAACCTCGACAATCCAATTATTGGATTGACTGACATAAATGATACATTTCAATTTGAGAATCTAAATGGAGGCACTTTTAAATTGAAAATAATAATATATGGACTAATCGATGTTAGTGTAAGGGAGGGAGGGATTTTGCTAGTTTTTAAAAATGTTTAGGCTAGGCTAAGCATCTTTAAAAAGTTTTTAGACAAGTTCACTTACTTCCCAGTGGAGCTTTAACAAAGCCTAACAAAAGCAAGTAAAGAAAATTTATTATATATGTTCGGGTATCCCGACTCCCGGCTCGTGAAAATTTCCAGAGTTTTTGGCCTCCCGATCACGACTCCCGAGGTCATTTCCCAACCCCGTTTCCCGAGTTTTTTTCTCCCGAAAATCATTATTATATTTAATGACAAATGTGTTTACGATAACGAATAAAACAAAATTATGTTTAAAAATTTATTAAATTACAAAATTCTTTTAGGAGGATATTGGCACTATAGATGAAGTACTAGAAAATGATACAATAATTTACATCATTCCTCGCAAAGACAATACAAAATATATTAAATACATAAAAGTTGAAGGAGAAGAATACTTCTTCAATACAATGATTAATTTGTTTAATAATCTTCGTGTATTAATTTTTGTTTGGTCTAGTACTCCAGAATATATGCAAAAAATAAATAGTATAATGATCAGATGTAAAGACATGGTTAAATCAAATTTTGCAGCCAATTTTAATAGAAATGTAAATAATGAGGAGGGAAGTGGACTATATAAATCAACAAATTATGTAAAAACATTAACTTGCCCGAGTGGTGAATATACTGTTCTGGTTGATTACAAGGTTAAGAGAAAATATTAATAAATTTATATCTGCTCAAATTCCAATTAGCTATATACTATTTAATCATTCCAAATACTCTTATGTAGTTGTAAATCGCTGATACTGTTGTTGGGCAAGTATCCTTTTGGTTCCCTACATGTACGCAATGAGAATGGGCACTTTTCAGATTGTAAGACGGAAATGGAATTGTGATATATTAAATAAAACTTTCCCAGCGACCCCGCCTATCCATAACCAATATACTCCTAGGAATAAGTGAGGGAAGGGATCAGTCAGTCAATCAGTCAGCTTATTAGTCAGTAGTGAATAATATTAGTGAATTAATATATTTATTGCCCAATCGGAGGAACTAGTCGTCGCCCGTTTAATCGCTCTTAAGAAGTGAGCGTTGTTTATTGTCCGGCCGGACCAACAACATTAATTAATTAGTATTTCACTCATATTCTATTATCCTGGGCTCTATACTGGGTATGGATTCAGCAAACTTTTTCTATATCTTTTGAATTGGTAGATGTACGAATTTGAGGAGATGTAAAAGGCCCTTTCTTTTAAACAATCTTACATTAAAAATTTAGATAGAACTTACAGAAACAGCTTATAATAAAACAGGAATCAAATATAATGGTAATATCTATTATTATCATTCAAGAGACCTTTGGGTTTGTGCAAGATATACTGTTAAAGGTGCAGACAAGTGTAGAGGGAAAATTCATGTGGATCCTGATTACAACATATCGGATGATTTATATTCAAATGTTGAGCACACCCATCGTCCTCAATATGACAAAAATTATAAAATTGTAAGAAATGTTATAAAATTTATATTAGAGTACGTCCGAGTCGGGTCGAGTACGAGTATACTCGACTCGATCTCTCGGCTTTTATACAACTTTACTCGTACTCGATACTCGGGGTCCTAGTACTCGGCATTACTCGTACTCGAAAACTTCATACTCGGGTAACTCGAGTATTTTTATGTCCCTATCTGCGGCGCAAAATGGAAGATTTTTGGATTAAGGATCTTCCAAATTTCTCAAAATTTTCGCCTGCGGCGCTGAAAAAAAAAAATTTTGCTCTTTGGCCTTCCAAAATTCTCAAAATTTTCGCCTGCGCTGAAAACGAAGACTTATGTGTACATCGTTGGATTTCAATGAACTTGGGTGGATTTTAGTGATAGCCGGATAGTTCAAGGGAAGGATCTGGCCTTCCGGAACTTGGGTGTTCCTAATTGGCCTTCAGAAATTTTCAAAATTTCTGAAGGCAAAACAGAGGGATAGAGAAAAGAGAGGATAGAGAAACAGTTACAGAGGGATTTTTATTAGAATTATTTTAAAATACTGTTTTATAAAAATTACTCGATTACTCGGCCTAAAAATCGAAACTAGTACTCGTACCCGGACTTTTCATACCCTGCTTTACTCGTACTCGAGTTTTTCCAAATTACTCGGACTCGGACGCACTCTAATTTATATCCTTGCACTTCTTATGTTTCTGAAACAAGTACTGAAGATACTAATTCAACTTTAATAAGGCTTGCGGGTTTTGATGTCTAGTGTTCTTTAAAATTTATTGCTTTCATCCAATTAAATATTAGTTTATTTTGTTTAGCTATATCTGGAAAAATTTCTATCTAGTATATCTCTATTATGGATCTAATTAAATAATTTAGCTTTTATTTTCAAAAGTGTTTAACTTGTACAAATTTTATTGAAATAATTTTTTCTAATAAAGATAGAAATAAATTGCCCACCATCAATTCATTCAAATGATATGGTAAATGCTTATAGAATAGATTTTGAAAATCCGTCGACTGAACATAAATGCCAATTCCTTCCTTATGAACAAACAATTACTAAAGATTATTTATATGTGTTGAATAATTATAATTTGTATGTTGATGAGCGAATGGAGCAAATTTTTGATGAAGAGTATGCACAGACTATTGTCCGAGGCAGAGGTGGGTCGGCCCAGCAGAGGTGTCGGGAATCGGAACTGTCGGAAATCGGAAATGGCTCAAAAGTCGGAACTCGGAAATCAAATTTTTTTTCGGAAATCGAAAGGAAAAAAAACGTCGGGAATCGGAAGGCGGAAATTGGAATTCAACGCACCTTTGGTCCAAAGCACTATGAAAATCCTTTTTTTTGTGTGTAGATTAAAAATTTTATTTTTTGTCTCCGTTGCTCAACGTATATTTTTTTGCGGGGAAGAAGAGTAAGTGAATCGGGGTTGGAGACCAACTTTAACCAAAAATATTAGTCCGGTCTGCTGAAGATGCTGGTTCGCTCCCAACCGCCGAATAACCTTTTGCATTAGCTAAAGGAGAAAAAGCTATAGCTTTACTATTTAAGGACGTCGACAGCGTAAATTGCGTGGAGAATCTTCACGTCAACCAAAGCATCCTTAGAAATTCACAGTTTATTCAGGTAAGATTCGGGAAATCATTGTGAGATTTTAAACAAATTTTAATTAAACTTCACCTAAAAAATTTAATCTTAATTTTATCTTAATTCAGAGAACAAGTAGAAGATGGAGCTCGTTTAAGAAAAAAACTCTAGAGGAACAAAAGCAAATATTATTTAAATTTTTTTTCATTTTTAACTTTTAGAAAAGAGTGTTATTTAAAAGGGATTTAAGTTATTATTAGGGTTGGGCCAAACATTCAAATGCATATTTTGTATGCGGATATGCCTTGATGAGAAAAGCTCAAATATATTGTTTTTATGATGGTTCGAGCAATTTATACCCGGTTCTTATTGAATATTTGTGCATTTTTAGCCTTTTCGTGCATATTTGCATATTGATGCATATGTTGGGAATTTTTTCATATTTTGGTAAAATTCATAAATTTTTGTTAAATTTTATTACTAAAATTTTGGCATTGTTTGTGTTTTTTTGATTTTTTTCTGTTTTTAACTGTTTCTTTTCACTTATTTTGTTGGTAATATTATTCACTGTTTCTTTTTATATTTTGTTTTCAATTCTAGATTTTTCTTCCAATTAAAATTCTATTTGCTTAAAATTTGGATTTTTAAGTTATATCTACAATGGCGGAAATTTACTTAAAACCGATTGAATTTTATATTTTAACCTAACTTTTCTCTCCAGCTTTATAGAAATATGAAATAGTCTCTTGGCTATTGAATAGCCCTACTTTCAACGTATCTTTTCTGTAAACTTTTTTAATGAATTACAATTACAACACAAAAATTTATAGCAAAAACTTAAGTGTGCGCGAAATTTACTTAAAACCGATTTAATAACTATTGAAATTTAGACATAACTACTATGCTTAAAATATTTTACTATTCGAGATGATAAATATTATGTCTGTGAAAACAGACATATTTATTGTACAATGACCCTAATCTCTCAAATATAATTGAGGAATTAATTTATTATATTTATTTCTTCATTTACTAAATTAGGGTCAAGGGAGCGCTCCGAAGAGCACTGAAAATGGGGGAAATGAAATAAGTATTTATAGGGACTAGGAAGGGCGGAAAGATTATAAAAACATAAGGAAAATACATTTGATTGATAAAATAAGGTTGAAAGGAAATATAGGTTAGAAGGGCAACAATTTGAAATAAGATGAAAGGAGAAAATATTTCAAAGTGGGACTGGGGGAATTATTTAAACATATTAAGGAATGGACAAATAGATAAAAAACATAAAATAAATAAATTATTAAAAACATTTGGGGTTAATTAATTTTTCCACAAAATACTCCCATTTTATTCTATATTTCTCTCTATGTCTAGAGGTTTTACAATTCGCCTACTAGCTAGTTTATAAATATTTTAAATTCGGTACTTTTCCGTTATCCCTACGTGTTTTTGCGGACTTTTTTTGCGGACAATTTATTCCATCAGCAGTCTGTACATAAAGGTCAACTATTTTCTCCCTTCCTAAACCCTTGTCAAGCAATCAAACAGGATTAAAAGTAGTGTATAAAATATGAATAAATGATAGGAAAAGAACAGTCTAAGCTTTTGATTTTATAATGAAAATTTGGGACGTGCCAGCAAATGAAAAAGATCCATCGAGCAGGAACAACCATATTTAGTGATTCGTGGAAAGGATATAAGACGAATGAAATAGAAGAGGCTGGCTTTGAACACTTTAAAGTCAATTATAGGTATGTGAAGTTATATTTCAAATTAATGTATTTAACTTAGATACCACTTTATTGATCCAAAGACTGGGTGTAATACTCAAAAACTGGAAAGAATGTGGGGCAGTGCAAAATGGAGGAATAAGAAGCATCGTGGAACAGCACGACATCATTTGGAAAGTTATTTTGCCGAGTTTATGTGGAGGAAAATGATGGGCGAACGAGACGTGTTTGAGGAAATTATGCTTGCTTGGGGAAAATATTGGTCTTTGGAATGATTAAAATGACTCTTTCTTTTATATATTTTCTCTTTTTATTTTCTTTTTATAAATAAAATTTGTCCGCAAAAAAAGTCCGCTGAAACACGTAGGGATAACGGAAAAGTACCATAAATTCTCTTCAATCTCCAATCTAAGGCCATAATCGCAACTTACGATGGACAATTTTTGATACTTAATCTTAATATTTTATTTTATTCAATCATTCTCCATAAATGGGGGTACTTATTTACTTTGTATCCGCTGGAAAAAATTAATTTATTTTTTATAAAAATGTCAGTGCAAAAGTTAAAAAATTTGCTTGTGGTCGCATTCAGTATTCACTCTTACTTTAATTCAGGCAATTTTTTGTTTTCGATTGCCTGTCTCACACATTTTGCCGTACTTATTTGTAAATGACTAAACAAAAATCTATGTTCATTTCTTATATTTAAAGCGGTTACAAATGAAAAGGGCAATTATTTATGAAAGAGTGAGTGAATGAATGCGACCACAAGCAAATTATTTAAACTTTTGCACTGACCATTTTTTTAAAAAATAAATTAATTTCTTCCAGCGGATACAAAGTAAACAAGTACCTAAATGGGTTTAATTTTTCATTTACATTTCTCCCAAATTTATGACCA